AAGGGTTTATGGAGAGATATGGTAGACCATGCGTAAAATTATATCAAATTTATTATGTTGTACATAAATTAATTTCAATAAAAACATTTGCTTGGTCGAAGTAGCTGATAAAACTCATAAATAGCACTATTAAATACATACATGGATGCAATATTCAAATCTAGACCCACATAGTTCATCCCTCATCATTGACTAGCCCAAAATACATACATTCATTGATAACATTTCTAAAGCCCAACAGCCATGATTCGTTTGACGTAATCAGTTCATTGGTGTGTTCTTCAAGGTGTATTTCAAAAATTTATTTCCAACATGATTAGTTCCCTACGCGTTTCGCCCTTAGGCTTCATCAGGGGATCAGACTAATCTATCAAGGGAATAAAAGTTGTTTATATAGAATATCATGTATAGTAGGTGGTGACACATATCACTGTGATTGATCCCATATGCGGATAACCCCCCTGTCTATCTCTGAGCGGGCGTCTGGCACTCACCTATAAGGGGTGCCTGGAGGTGGGTAGAGGTGATGAGGACAAGACCGGAGTGGGCGGCTCACTTCGGCCAATCCATCACATACCGTCCAACATCTCTCCCAGGACGCCGGGGCCACAAATGGAGGGATATCCTGGGCGGATTCAAAGAGCCATATGAAAGCCCACTCGGAGCAGTGACCTGAGAGGAATATATATAGCAAAAATCAGCTATAAATACTGATATTGCTTCCTAACTTAAAAGTAGTGCATGACAATGTGCAGATTATAATATGCCTTTCTTAATCTTTCTTTTTGTCTGTGGCATGGCCCCTATTGGCCATCCTTCACCATGGTCTTTGGAATACGTCCTCTTATAGGAAAAATGTGTTGTGTGATCTCGTGCACTATTTTATTCTAGTCGTATGTATCAGTGTTGTATAGATAGTGATTTTAAATAGGTATGTGAGTGAACAATTGTTCGTACATTTAAAGACATTAATTTGCTACTAGTTAGTGTATAGAGCATGTGCATAGGTATATATGATCTCAGCCCTAACACTTGTATATATGTGTCCCAAATCCTAAATAAAAATGGATACTACTAATTGGTACTCCTTGGTGTATAGGATTCCCATAGAAAAACGCAAAAACATGATTGAAAACTTAAAAAGTGTGTCAAATAGAAATCAAATATAAAAAGAAAAGAAAAAATTTAAATGTCTCTCTAAGTTGTAGAATTTTTGGTTAGGTTGTTTAATCAGATTACATCTAGGTATGGTTAGTGCACATTATTAGGCATGGTCCAGAGATCTATAGGTCGAGGCGACGCACTGGGGGTAGGACCTGATAAGTAAACATACCTTCAGGTCCTGGTTATATCTAACAGAGAAACTTTTTGTGGAGCAGAATTATAACCCTCATTTCACCCTTGTAGACAACATCAATGAGACTTAAAGTGACACTAAACGCAGGAGTTAAATCTTGAAAATGCATTCAAGTACTCTAACTATGAACATTAATGCATCTCATTTGTGTATCACTCGGCTGTAAAGCCTCAAATCATCTTTGAATTAATGCTGACACTGTCCTTCCTTTCCGGAGTGATGGCTACTTTACAACACACACACACACGCACACACGCACGCACACACACACACACACACACACACACACACTGAATTCAGAGAGGATTTGAGGATCACCCTTCATCCTTCTGGAGGGTGGTTACTTTTGTTCGCTATGGTCCCTATGCGTGTTGTAAAGTAGCCACAGCTCCAAGCTTGCTCCTGTGATGGACTACAATCTCATGTTTAGTTTACTCATTTGTATTGTAGTCCATCCAGGGAGTGAACTTGGAGCACAACACACACACAGGGACCATGCGAAACCAAAGTAGCCACCCTCCAGAAGAAAGGACAGTGTCAGCACAAATTCAGCGATGATTTGAGTATCTACAGCTGAGTGATACACAAATAATATACATTTATGTTAATAGTTAGGGTACTTGAATGCATTTTTAAGATTTAAATCTTTTAGTCAAGTGTCACTTTTAAGTCTAGCTATAAAAAAAGTACCCATGCAGTGGGGCTACCCCCACACGGCGAGGGCTAGCTGCTTGTTTTTGTCTAGGGGGATCTACTTACCTGATCCCTTATTTTGCTGGCTCCAAGAGCAGCAACCACAGCCTCTCAGCCGTCAGCACTGGTGGTCGGAGGCCCACTGATATCATCACGTCTAATGCAGGGCCATAGCCAAGGAACAGTCCACAAGCCAAAGCGGAGAGGAGAGAGGGGACCAGGTACGTAAAAGTCCTCCTTACCATATCCCTAGACAAAATGAAGCAGTTATCTCTTGCAGTGCAGAAGTAGTCCCACTGCAATGTTTGGCTTTTTTTTGGGGGGGGGGGGG